CACACTTTCCGTACTTCCACCCCCAGCTACCCGTATGAGTAGACCAATTTCATGGCTAATTCAGTCAACCCTTAACCCTCTCTCTTTTTCTGCCTGAATTCCATTCACCATCTGATGTGCAACATATGCAAGTGACCTCCCATAGGTATACGGGACTGGGGTTGGGGGTTCCCATTCGTATTTATGGCCCGATGGCTGGTATATTTTTCATCGGTCTAAAACCCATAATTAAATTACGTGAAATTCATTTATAACAATTACGTCGAAATGGCAATCTATGCTGATGATGCCGGCACAGTACACAGTCCCGGTCCTCTTTCTCTGCGACAAGGAACTGTGGAAATACTTTTGCCTAAGCAACAGCAACAAACGAATATTCGTGTGGCAGAAATAAAAAATGCTGTGCGTCATGTGAGCAATTTGGTGTCGTTGTCGTTTGTCCATTTGCCGGTGTGGCAGGCAGGCATGAAGGCAGGCAATGGGTGCCACAACCAGTTCACTCGGCTCCTGGCTCTCCACCTCTTTGCAGTTCTCTGTGTGTCTCGCTCCTTTGCAGTGCACTGCAATTATTTATTCCTGTGCATTTGGCTTCCCTCTTTCCGTTTCCTCTCCTTTTGCTTGCATGGCGCTTAAGCATGTCCATGTCCGGTTTTTGCTTGTGTCCCTGTGTGCGAGTGTGTTAGTCCCTGTGTCCGTATGGCTCCTAAATGCCTGGAACACACGACACAGACACATATCCGTCCGCCACCCATATGCCTCCTCACTCCTTCTTTAGAGGAAAAGGCGGATCCAAAGCAAGGTAATGTCCCCGCAACATGCACTTCAACACTGAGGGAAAAGTAAGGGGAAAAGGTGTATTGCTGTTTCTCTGAAGGATCAATGGTTTGTATATAGGATAGGGTGATCAGAATGGAGTACAATTTTCCATTATGTTGAATTATCTTCATGGAAAAATACAGATCGGAGCTGTAATATCTCTATCATGTCTATACAAATCAAATACATTTTCTTTAGTGCATGAAATATAGAGGGAAGCAGAGAGTGGAGTGCTCATGGAGAACTGCTAGCAGAGACGGAGTCGTGGCAGCAGAAGACTGAAAGTATGGGGACTTGAAAGAGGTTAACTGATGGAGACCCGCAGTGGTCGTGGGTAAGAGTTGGAGTTTGCTGTGCAGATCCAAAGAGAAGTTGGAGTGGGGCGCCTTTGGAGCTTCAGTTTTGCGCTCAGATTGCGGCTCTACTATTATTAGATGCCATTATGTTTTATAGTCTATAATTGATCCTTTGAGCCAAGCAACGCTCATGCACTTCATGTGGTATGCATTTCTTTATCTTACAAATTATATGAGATTAAATGAAAAGTAATGCGAATGTGTGTGTGAGCACGAGTGCCAGTCTTCAGCCGTAATCATGGCAAATGACGGGCAAAAATACGCTCAAGTTGCGGTTTAATGTGATGTGGTATTAGATTTAAGTAAATATTTGATTCAAGTTAGGAAAGTGAGAGAAAGGGAAGGAGCTGCCGAGAGGATAGTGTAAATCTCCGCTAAAAATCCCGTCAAAGACCAACTTATTCTTGAGAGCTCCAACATTTATTTAGTCTTTTTACAACCACATAATAACCAGCTCTTAAATAGTCGTCTCTAAGTCATCGATACTATCGATAATACATGCACTGCTTCCTTCAATAAACAGTGGGGACCATAGCCAGGGGCAACCAACAAACACATTCGGGGTAAATAATCCACATTTTTGTGTGTTGGTTGCCCTGCGATACGTTTGCCCAGCTGTACGGACCACAAAATAAACAAAAGACCGACAAAGGCCACAAATCAACACACAAATATTGACTCAAATCCTTTGCTCATTGAACATTAATAACCGGGGAAATATGTTTTCATTGCTGCACCCGCAAACGGATGAAAGTTTTCTGGATACGAAATCAACAGTTGAGGATGTCATCAGATTGCTACAGAGTCTACAAAAGCCAATGGAGTAAGTGCTGCAACAGTTTATACCTATAATTCAATTCCAAAACCTTTCCATTTAGGGCAGGAGAAGAGGAGGAAGAAACTGTTGAAGTGGATCTGACGGGGGAAAGTGTCACAGAGGACAATTTTATGGTCACCGAGCGGCAGAAGCCTTTGAGGAAGGTGCCCATTCCCTTGAAGACTATATTAAAGTCGAAGAAAAAGAAAGCAGATCCCACAGATGTCAATAAAGATCGCTTCACATTCATGAGGCAGGTGGACGTGGATCATGATGAGTGTTCCAAGGCGCGACTGGAACGTGAGCGAGTGGCACAAAACTTTCGAAAGTAAGTGCAGCCATACAGAATACTGTACCCCAGGATATGTATCTCCCATCTAACCCCTAGATTGGGCAACTCTGAGTATCGACAGGGAAACTACACGACTGCCATGCGGATGTACACAGAGGCCATGGAAAACATCAAGGACAGCCACATTCTCTACATAAATCGGGCACTTTGTTTCATCAAGTATGATAAAATAGCTTCAAATAATAGTTGGATCGCTTTCCTTATAAACATTCTTCTCTCTATCATCTGTAGAGCTGGCAGATTCAAGCGGGCCATTGTCGATTGTGATTTCGTTTTGAACAAATTGGATGAGAAGAATTTGAGGGCGTGGCTGTATCGGGCCATGGCCTACAAGGGGCTCAACGATGAGGCCAATTTTGAGAATTGTGTGAGATATGCCCGCAAATTTAACTCCAAGCAAATGGAGTTTATTGATGGATTCCTGGAAAAGTTGAAATGAAATTTTTTGGACTTAAATAAATTATGGAAGTAAAGGAGCAATGGTTCAGAGATACTTAAATCTTTTCCCTCATCCATTTGCTGTATTTTTCCCTTAAATTTTAACTCATTGCTAAGTTTATTTTAAACTTTAGGGCAGGCCTATGCCCATTCCCCTTTCTATGCATTGCGCAACCCCTTGGAATATTTCAAGTTTTGTTTACATATGACAGCAGGAATTTCATGTTTGGTGGCTCAACTCTTTCGTTTCGATTCGATTCCATTCCAATGCCATTCAATCGAAGTCAGACGACAGCGACGACGACGACGACACACATCCTCTGGCACCCCCTCCTACCCCTTCTGGGTTGCCACACTGTTTCCTACCCTTCTCTGGATGAGGAGGGCAAACAATTCGATGGCGGTAATCAATCTTCCTTCACTCTCTGCCAGCTGACAGCTCCGTGGTGTAGAGTCAAATTGCGATCTTTGTTTGTGCCCCCGAGAACGGGATGGGTTACGGCCATGGCCAGGACGGAACAGTAGCAGCAGCAGCAGCAGACCGTAGAGCGGAGACCTGACACTCCAGCAATGGCATTGGTTGGGGATGGTTGGGTGGGTGCTCCATTTATGCGTGTCAAAGTTTGCGTGGCATAGGCAGAGGGCGACAGATTGAAGCCCCAGGCAGGCGACACAAATGTTGTACTTGTCACGGTTGTTGCGGTAGTTGCATCTTGTACTTGGCAGCTTCAGGAGGGGATGAGGGTGGTGCTAGGGGGTGCTGCCCTCCCCCCGACCACACAAATGAGTCGTTACCCGCCTGAGTCGGCACAAAGTTCAGAGCTCTTATCCCACTCATTAATCCTTTCCATTTAACTCAATTATCTGATATTTGCGGCACCAGTTTTATTGCAAGTGAACAATAGGATACGGTTAAATACATATAAACATATAGGGCCCATCAATCAATTGTTTATGGACATATTTTTCAGCAATTCATGGCAATGTTCTTGATTATAATTCAGTTTTGTTTTTCTGTTGGTCAATCGAGTGAAAATAAATCAATTAGAAATACATTAAGGCACCAAAGCTGATCCTGATAAGATCTATAAATATTCGGATGTGGTTTTTGTGATGTTTTCAATCAACTTTACTGATAAAGTATGTACCAAAAAAAGAAACAATGACTATTTTTGTAGGCAGTGCACAGTTCTATTTTTTTATGCACACAACTTTATTCATTTATGTGCAAAAATATTGTCTCTTCAGGGGCACAACTTTATCGATAATGAAATTCGACTAAGTTTTTATTATTGGCATAATCAAAATAACTAATAAAACGACACGACTCTGACGACAGCTGACGATGAAATATTGTTCACAAAACATGGCCAAATCTAATATGATCTGCGGAACGGAACACTCCCCTCTTCCTCTCTCTCTCTCATATGTGACACACACAACATCCGAGGGCAGCATCCAGAAGGAAAAGCCAAAGAAAATTTCAATATGCTGGAAATTACTTTATGATGTGATGACACCAATTTATCTAAGAGAACGACAGAGAGATGAAGAGTGCGCGAGAGAGGATGAGGATGGGGATGGGCATAAGATGTTCTTGTCCACCAAAATGTTGTGACCAAATGGCTGCCATTTGGCTTCATTTTTTAAACCAGCTGAAAGGAAACTGAGGTTATCCATTTGGCCAAGAAGATTTGTTAGCTTAGGTGCCTGTCAATCCATTCTTGGCGCAGGCTTTATACAAACAAATATAAATATATATAAATATTTATGCACTACTTTGGTAACAAAGAAAGTTTTAATTAAAAATATCTTAAAAGTCTATTAAATTCTGTATGAAATCAAAGTCCACCTCCAAGGACTCTCCTGAGGAGGAACTATTCGTATCCCAGCACAAGTTTTGGCCCATTAAATTAGGTTGGAAGTAAGGATTGCTGCTGGGCATATGTAGATCTTGAGGAAGTTCAAAAGGTGGCTCAGGCGCAAACCAATTGTGGGGCCAATTTTGGTTAACTTCCATTTGGTTGTGGGGAATCTCTGCAAACGGCAAGGGTGCTGGACAGAACTCCTGGAGGTAATCATACGCCTGATAGGGAGGTGTTATGTCACCTTGTTGCAGGGGCACATCAGCAGGAGGTAGAGGCACATCAGTAGTATGTAGAAATACTTCCTCTTGTGGTACTACCGTAGCCTGTTGTTGTGGCATATTCTCTACATATTGCAATAGAACTTCCACAATTTTTTCGTGCTCCAGGAGGTCGTCACTTAGTGGCATGTCGCACAATTTTGTGGGGGTAAGAACTCCCTTGGACACCTGCTTATTGGCCAGCTTCTTGCTCTTCATGCGACGATTCTGGAACCAGATCTTCACCTGTCTTTCGGTCAGATTCAGTCGCTGGGAAATCTCAATGCGTCGTGTACGTGACATGTATTTGTTCAAATGGAACTCTCGCTCCAATTCAAGCAGCTGATGGCTGGTGAAGGCCGTGCGGGATCTCTTGCACTTCTCCATGGACTTCGTTGCAGCTAAGGGCACGGCTTCCATGTTCAACGGTTCACTGGGAAACATCTAGAAGTTTATATAAATTTATAGATTGATTTCAATGAATTGCTTTAAATGTTTCACTGAAAAACTTACCAGAAAATCACAGACAGTTGATGAGTTGTCAACAAAATAGTTTGTATTATTTGGGGAGAACATTTTCTTTCGCTTGTCTGTTGCTTGTGTTCGGTGACAGTTTGGTTTTTTAACTAGATGCAGAGAAGTTGTCTCATTTGCTTTTATACCAAATACCTCAGGTACAACGCCCACACACTGCACCGCGAATCGGATCGGTTATGTCCTTTCCCTACCTGTAGGACGAGCACCGACGCCAGGGACTTTTGGGCAGCCGGCTGGTCTGCACTCTCTCTCCCTATCAGGGCCGACAACTCGATGTCGCGACTATCGGAATCAGAGTCTCCTCAGTTAGCGACACTTTCCACGATGGCGTGAGTCCTGATTGCGTCGTTTGTGTCTAATGATGGATAGCAAAGTCTCGAATCCAATGGAAGTTTGTGAGGACTTTTAAAAGGCAGTGACTCCAAATAGAGAGTGGAGTTTTAAAGGATTTTCCAAGGGGTTGTTCATACATTCAAAATACCTACATGTGTGACTATTTAAATGTATTCAAATCCCTTTTCTAAATAATTATACCATCCATTAAGGCACCACTCAATTCTTATCAGAAATTCGCACTTTTAAAAGGACTTTTCGAAACCTCCCCTCAAAGTACAGCAAAACTTTTGCCATCAGGCCCATGTCCAAACCCCAATTCCTCTTATCAGGTAGCCATCCATCATGAACGAGAAAGTTTTCGGTTTTCCCCGGGGTTTTCCATGCGAGTTATGAATATCTGAGGGTACGGCTACCTGTTTAGCATAAGAACGCGATCCGAAAACACTGATCCTCTGGCCATAAAACGTGTGTGTCACTTCAGGCTAATCCAATCACCCGCTATAAAAACATCTTTAGGGGCCCATCCCATCGGGACATGTGCTACGTGCTGCTGGCCGTAGACTTACGTGAGTTCAGGCTTATGCAAAATCCAAGACGAGTTCTAGTCCTGCAACAAGTAGTCCAATCTACAGTAGAACAGCATGAGTGATCAGGTGATCATGGACAAGTAGTCCAATCTACAGTAGAATCGCATGAGTGATCAGGTGATCATGGTGGAAGTCCTTGTACCGATCCTTAGCCAATGATCAGTGTGAAAGTTTCGTTGAAGGATGCAGGAATCTTAGATCTTTAATGCCGCATCTTGGTTGGAACACTGAAGAACTTTTGCGAAAGGTAATTTCGGTTGCCACTTTAGATTTACGTAGAGTTTCGTGTTGGTTAAATGACACATTTAGCAAAAATATCTTTAATTTTCACAGCTATTTCTTGTTCAAATGAATTTCCCATATGCTGAATAGGAAGCACCCAAAGAACCATTTATGCTTTCACTTTTATTACGCCCAAAGACCCATCAAAAAGATTGTCCATAAGTGGCGCACATAATATGGAATATAAATCACCAAAAATGCATATCCATTTGGGCCCCAATAAGTAAAAGCTGCCTCCCACTCATGTAATATTATGTGTAATAATGTTATTTACACCTGTAATGACATACAATACACATTAATATCTACACATAATTACAAATATTTTACAGTGGGGTAATGTCTTCTCCACTCTCCACTGGAATGCACTAAAAACAGAGCGTGAAAAAGACCGAGAGACGGACGAGCGCGAAAAAAGCAAAATAAAATCGAGAAAACAAGCGACGAAAAACAGTGAAAAGCGAAAGATTGACAACATGATGGTTAGACAAGAGAAGAAGCGCTGCCCAAAACAAAAAGAGCGATGAGCAAAGCGAAATGTCAAAAATACCCAAAAGCCAACAAAAACCGACAGAGCCAAAGCAAGAGAGAGGGGGAACGAGGGAGAGAGGCGGTCTCTGGCTGCTGCTGTGCTTTTGCTGCGCTTTCTGCTGCCCGATGCATCTTTTACCGCTGCTTTGGCTGTCACTGTCGCCGCCTCTGCTGCACCTCTGCTTTATCCCCTGTTTCTTCTGCCACTTGTTTATGCCCTTCTTCTTCTACTGCTGTCGTTGCTGCTGCTGCTGCTGCCGCTGCAGAATGTGTAAATAACAAAAACGAAATAAATTCCGTCACAAGCAACACGTTCAAACTAAATAAAAAAGCAAAAACGCTCACAACCAGCCACGAAAGAAAAAAAAACGCTCAAGAGCAGGCACAAAAGATACAAAGATACAAATATATAGCAGTCGACCAATCAGCGACTTGCAGGCCTTCCATGTGTGTGTTTGTATGTACGTGCAGCGAACTCCACCCCCGGCGGAGAAGAGCGCATGCGCAAGTCCTGAGACTTGGAAATTGCCCCCGAAGCACACTCAAGTGCTGGTTGTTTCAGTGCGTTCGGTGTTATTGGATGGGTTGGTTGCTTGCTTGGTTGGCTGCTGCTCTCTCAAAGCTCTCGGGCCCCACGCGCACGAAGCAAGCCCCAAGACTCGCCAGTCGTTGGTTCCCGTTCACTCGGTCGGTCTCGTTTCGCTCCCACTCGAAGGGTCTTCAAAGTCGCGACGGAGACTCGGAAAATCGAATATTTATAACTATTATAGAAACAATTTAAACAACAATCGTTATCAAATAGTTGGCTAACATTAACTAGAACAAAATCTTATCGGAGCCGCATCTTGGCCACCATTGGAAGCAACCCCACCTGAAACAGCAACAAAAACAACAACAACGATATCGAAAAACCGGTTGCTGCGCACCTACCCAAAGCCAGACAGAGACAGCTAGTGTGTGCGTATTTGAGTGAGAAAAGTGTCTCCACAAGTGTATGCGAGTGTGAGTGAGTGAGTGTCACTGTGTGGCCATTGACGATCGAGGCGACGACTCTCTCGCCAAGTAAAAAAAACTCTTTACAGAGTGGGAAAACCAACAACTTCCACATACGCATACGCACCGTGGGGCTGATTGCTGCTGCTGTACTTTAACTGTGTGTTTTGGCCTTTTCGCGTCGCCATGGCCGACGCCATCGTCACCAGCAGCAGAGGTGTGTGCAACCGAAAGCGATACTAAACCCAAAACTGTCGTCGGTGGCAGCAGCACTTGGCGCTGCAGCGCTTGAGTACACAACCAACGGTCGGCCATACAATATTCCGGTGCTCCTAATTTCCCTTGCCTTACCTTACCCTCTCCTACGCGTTCTCGTTCTCGTCGCGGTTGTCGCCTCCATTTCGGACTCCACAGATAAGCCATAGAACCCGCCGCATGGGGGTCTATTGCAAAAAGAAGAAGTTCTACTACCAAAAACCCGCATTGCGAAAGTTTTGCATAACAAACAAGTTAAACTAATCAAATTGTGGTGGAAAATGTAAAGAAAAGTGAAGTGAAACGCCTCTAGTGAAAAGCAAAATAGAAAAACCTTTTAGAACAGAACATTAAATGTGGATTGGAGTCAACATATAAAGATCTTAACGAAATGGTAGGTGATATTTAAATCATTATTCAATTTAAATCAATAATAATAACAGTTTGTTCTGAAAAATAAGAACGAATAAAGTGAAGATATCTCTGAGAAAACATTGTGTTCTTTTATTTCAAAATATCTTCAAATTATAGTAAGATCTGATTGGTTCTGTTGATTTCGGGCTATTTCTTACGGACTTACAGTGTGACAGAATATTCTGCAGCACACCAAGGAAATGTCAAAGGTTCATAAATAGTTATCCTTCACAGTCGTAAAAGGATCAGTTTTTTGATAGAACAAATTGTGACTACTTCCGTCGGCTTTTTGACACTCAGATTTTACCCATTTAAATAACTTTTCTGTTTGGATATTTTGATTAGAAATGATTCTAATCAAAATATATAACTTGGAGTATTTCTTTATAATGTTTTGACAAAGTAAAGTATAGTTAGAACGATAGATTTATATTCAGAAAATGTTGCTTTTCTTTCTTACCACACAGCTTTTGTTCATTAAACTATTTAGATTGTTTAGATCGTCTTTTCCATTAGCTCTTAACACTAACCCACATTCATATTTTCTTTTATTGCAGATTTCTAAGCAGATGAATACTTAAGACTCTTCCAAACCCAAAATAGATACGAGAAAAGAAACTGAATTAGAAAAGACAAAAAATTAAAAGCCATGCAAGAGGTCTGCAGTACCCTGGACACAACCCCAATGGGGACGCAGATCAAATCGGAGTCACCACTTAATCCGCTGCAGGTGCAGACGGGTGGACAAACCGCACTCCCCGTGGGTGGTGTTGGCTGTGGTGTTGGTGGTGCAGCTTCTGTTGGTGGTCTGGTGGGTCAGGGCACGCAGCAGGGTGCTCCCGCCGTGCCGGCGGTGATGCTGGTCAATAAGATGGCCTCGAACTGTGATAAACGGGCCGCGGACACGGCCTACTGGATGGCAGCTTCAGAAGGTGGCTTCATCAATTCGCAGCCCTCGATGGCAGAGTTTCTCAACCACCTGAGCCCGGAGAGTCCCAAGATGGGAACACCTGTTGGCGTTGGCGGTGGCGTCGGCGGCGGTGGTGTCAATGTGAATGTGAATGTCGGCGTCGGATATCCGGTGGGTGTGGGACCAATGCCACAGACACCGGATGGCATGGACTCGGTGCCGGAGTATCCCTGGATGAAGGAGAAGAAGACATCGCGGAAGAGCAGCAACAATAATAATCAGGGTGAGTCCACGATCAGCGGAACGGGAGAGTGAAATGCGAAACTCTCATTAATCAAGAAATCAATGCAATTTACCTTGCAACACGATGAGTAGGAGACGCAGCATGGCGGCGCCTTCTCTAGAACATGGCACCCATACCACCATACCCTTTCCTTTTATTTCCTTTCCTTTCCTTCTTACGTCTGCCACTCGATCAGAGACACACACGCACTCGCTCGTCTCGTCTCGAGGCACGGCTCCTTTGATGGACAGCTTCGGAATGATGTGCCGGCAAAGATCTGTTATTTGCGATCATTTGTAACAATTTTCGAGGGGCAGACTTGAGAGCGACCAGACCAGACCAGTCCTCGGACTGGACCGGAGCAGAGGCCAGAGATCGCTCTGGAAATGCTTCATTTATTTCCCTTCGAATGTGTCGATTTCATTTGCGCAAGAAATATACGAGTATACTCGAGTAAGAAAAAAATAAGAAAAGATCGAGGCAGCCGCATTTAAAATAAATGAGGTATCAAGGTTGTCCGACCATACGTTTTCCTGTCCATGTTGAATGCCACTCCACACTCCCCTTTTCCTCTTGCTCTCTCTCACTGAGAGCGATTGCAACCTGTTATTTAGGTTCATTTGTCAAAATATTTTTTCCTGTCCCCCTTTTTTCTGCTGCCTTCAATCAAGGGGGGGGGGGGGGTATGAAAGGCAGCAGCACCGGTTGGCATGTTGCAACTTGCAATTGCAAGCCAGGCAGGGCCTGGGGATAGGTGTAGCGTATACAATGTTTCGCGGCTGCTGCTGCTGCATGCACCATTTTAAAGCTTTGCCTCCCATTCGCCATTCTCCCAATTCCCCCATTTACTTCGCCCAGGGAGGGAGAGAGTTTCAATTAATCATTTTTATCGGATGGACAGAAGGCGAGCAGCAGCGGAAATTTAAATGTGTGAGAAGCGGTGGAGAACAGAGCGTAAAGAAAGGAAGAAGCTTGGCAACTGCTTTAGATTTCTTTCCAGCTAAGCTTAGAACTTGGCAGCGAATTTAGCAAGCAGGGGAGGTGGGACGATCTGTCTTACTCCATCACTCCTTCACGCAGTTAAAGCTCTGTAGCTGCTTTACCTTTCCTTCTGATAAGCTTTGACTGTGAAAATAAACCAGCAAGAAGAACAGGCCAAGCTTTGATGATCTCTCTTTCTCCTTCTATCACAGCTTTGCTTTGGCTATGAGTTTGTTGAGAACGCGCCGGGAAATAAGAAAGAGAGCTCACCCACGAGATTTCTAAGCTTTCTGTTCTCCGCTCTCTGCTCTCGTTTTCTCCTCTCTGTTTAAGCTAATAAAAGTACTGCATCCTCTATCGTTCCTAAAGGAAGATCCTCTGCCTGGTCAGCGTATTCCTAATCTACGCGTCTACTTACTGCTTTTCTGCAGCGTTAACAAATGCAAATCTCCGTGAGATTGTTTGCCCCTGCTCTGACTTAAACTAATAGAATGCCAATTAATATTGACCACACACTCATACCACTCGCTCTGTGCGCCACCATCATGTTGACAAATGAGTTACACTAATCCCCTGAAAGGTGTCTAGGAACACAGTAGTAGTTGAGAGTCCTAGAGTGTGTTTAACCTCAGAATCCAAACACGTGGCTACCGCAGTGCAGAATGTGTCCAGCCAAGCAAAAGGCAACATGCACGAAATATTCCCCAGAGAGGGGGAAAGAAAATCTTCCCTTTTGGTTTTCTGGTCTCGCTCTCTGGTTCCCCGGGTGAAAGTGAGCCAATAAATAGCCGTGAAGCATTCCGAAGCGCCCGACACTGAATCCCGTTGAAGGGTCAATACATCTTTTCACTGCCACACACTCTGTGGTAAGGGACTCACTCGGCTGATGGAGGGGGTGAGGCGAGGACGACATGCTGAGCGATATGGATTACAAATGATGTTGTAAATGTCTGCCCATACCAGGAGGAGATGGAGATGGAGGGAGAGAGAGAGCACACCGCTGTGTTCTGTTGAGTGTGTGTTCTGGCTGCTTTGTGGAGTGTTTGTTGAACAGTTTAATTTGTTAATGTTGTCAAATTAATTCCATGTCAAACAGTAAACGATCTAAACGAGACCCTAGAGGAAAATCTTTAGAGGTAAGCGCACAGTGAAATGGCTTTTGATTGAACCAAAAAGATCAAAGCTTTAAGAAAAGGAGTTAAATAACCTTCCTTTCTACCTTTAAAACATCTACCATCTAACATGATACCAAATCAACAGTTGAATTAAACCTTAAACTGCCACTCCTCCAATAAGCCTATGCCAATCCCCCACATAAAATGCCCTTTGCCGCCTGGAATAACAATTTGTATCCATGTTCCTGCTTCCTCCTAGCGGGAGCACACTCATTGTTTGCCACAAATTGTTTACAACGCATCCTGAATTTTAATGCGTGCCGCGTAGAGCCCCTCAGAGGATGAGTTCCATTCCTTGTGGAGTAGAATGATGATTGTGCCACCAAAATTGTGCCTGTACGCGCACTCGAATGAGTGGAAACAATAAAATTTGTGGCAAGTGTTAATTAGGCGTAATGAACCGCAAGCAAAAGTTTGTAATTGTCGTGCAACATGTTCAAGTTTTCAGCGTCAAGTATCTGCGAGATACTTCATCTCTTCTGTGGAAAGGAGAGAGTGAGAGATATGCAAGAATTTCTGCGTGGGGAGTGGGGAAACCAATAAAAAACATTTTTTTCGGAGCGGCGGCTATTGAAAGGCGGCAATCCATTGGCAGCGCCATCTGTATCATCCACTCCACACCCACTCCTCCACTCCACTCCCCTCCACTCCACTCCACCCATCGACCATATGTTGCGCCAGGACCAAAAGCAGTTCATCCTGACTCCTGGCTGAGGTTTTCTGTGTCCATGGGCTGAGGGGTTCATTCGGGATATAAAAAATGCGTGCGGCACGACTGGAAACTTACCCCCCGAGGATTACGATTATAACAATCCATTTATCATAATATTTATGTTGATGTGTTGTGCTTTTTCTCAATGAAGGTCTCGCCTCTCACTCACTCTCGCTCTCAGCGTAGCGGCGCGGTGCCTTTTATTAATTTTATTTATGATGAGTCATTTGCACATTTATAATTTTAACCTTTACACTCGAATTCATTCGCAAACCGAAACCCGTGCGAGTGTGAATTCCAAGGGGAGTCCATTTCAATTCCAGATATGCAGATCGCGAAAAAAACTTAACAGATTCCCATATCAAAATTGTGTTTCTGAGGCAGTGGGGGTGGCCGTGAAGGGTTGCTGAAAGATTTATTTAGTTATTGATTCAGAATAATTGTGTGTTTGACATAAATAGACTTTTGATGGTGCATATTGAAGGGAAGGTCTGTCTAATATCGAGTAAATTAAGGGAAATGATTTATGTCGCTACGAAATTTTAAGCAACCATTTAGCGACGATCGTTAGTCGATTATTGAGGGAGATTCTCAATTTGATTCTTTATCGATTGACTGTAGTTACCTTAGATCTATAAAAAATAGAGCAATTAGTATGAAAATCGTATAAAACTAATTTAAATAGCAAGCAAAACTTAAATTAATAATTATTTTTGATTAACAGCATTTGTATGACAATTTGAAGCTTCTAAATTGATGAAATGTCGAAAGTTTGCGATAAAAAAAAAAGATTATTTCATATACAAAATGCTCGCAATTGTTATGTATACTGTTATGTATAATACACCACCAAAACAGAGCTAATCCGAGTGCAACCTTTCAAAATATATGCCACAAACCCCTTTCGTAGCTCCTTCACAAGCCTCATTTAGATCCATTAAACCACAAAGGTCCCAGTAGATAAGTGCCTCCCGCCTTCTCCTGTGCGAAAGGTAAATCCGACTCCATTGAACTTGAAATTCATGTCGCCGAGCATTAAATTAATTGAGGCTCGTCAAATAATTTTTGGTGAACTAATTACGCGTCAAACGATGAAAAATTTCCATGTCCTGCGTCTCAGGATTTCTATCTCTCACCTCAGTTGGGGAGCTGAGCCGTTCGCATTTTTCGGGGTTGCCTTCAATTAATTGTTACGACTTTATTATGGAGATAAGTGCACAGCGTCTTGGCCGGAGACAACAAAAGGGTTCTAATTGGCAGACCGCAGGATTCAGCCAGGATAATGCCGGGCAGACGTTTACGCCCCAAAGGGTTTTTCCATATTTTTCTTTTGCTTTTTTCCTCTGCTTTTTCCTTGGGTTTTCCTTTCGGTTTGCCCCTCTGCAGCGTGACGGTGGAAAAAAGAATCTGTTACAATTAGTTAAGCTCGAAGGCCGGCGGCTGGCCCAAAGTAAATTTTAAGATTATTATTTTTTAAGCAATTTTTTTCGCTGGCTTTTTCTATTATCTACAAACTGATTTGTCATTATTTTTTAAAGCGCAAAGAGGGCGAAATTTATCAGGGAATTATAAACATTAATGTAGCAAGGGAGCTGGCACTTGCCAGCAACTGCTGCGGATAGGAAAAACTGAAAAATGAGAAGAATTTCCAACTGAAATACAAACCTTAACAACCAATCTTACGTGAGCCATCATCTCTCTCCATTTTTCCTTTAATTTCCATCTAAAATTGGTAATTTGGTTGCCATTATGCTGGCAAAAGTTTGACTAACGTCAACCAATATCGATTTAATTTTATTTCCCACTCATTTAGCTAAAAGCATTTCACTGAAAAATGAAAATATTTGCTCACGGTTAAATTAAAAAAACTCGGAAAACTCACCAACAAAAACAAGAAAGGAAATGCCAGTTGGGAAGGGAGAAAAGTGTAAGAGAGAAAAGCATTTTATGAAATAAATGCACTGACACTCTGGCCTCGCCTTTGCCTTTTGGTAAAATTTGAATACATTATGAGGAGAGCGAGAGAGAGAGAGAGAGGGGATGGATATGGAGTCCCTGCAAATAAACTGCTGGAGAACTGCTGCCCCCAGCCCCTGCTCTGGACCTGCCACACCCCCAAAAGAAACCACCAG